CCGCCGTGGTGGCTGATGGCCCCGGAGGATGCCGCCTCGCCGCTCGCCGCCTGGCTGTACCGGACCCCTGCAAAACACCGCCAAGCGTTGGCGTCACCCACGGGCAGCCCGGAGAGGGTGCCCTGGCCGTGCCAACCCTCCCTGAAAGTGGCCCTGCAAAGGGGAAACCCCCCCACCCCTCCCTGGCTCCCTTGGCAGGAGGATGCAAACAGATGTGCGAGCTCCTAAATGACACCCTTGAACGATAAACGGGAGGGACAGCACCGGACAACGTGCCCCTCCCTGCAGTGCCACTTCCCAGCTTCTCCCCAATCCCATCTTCTGAAATAATAGCAAGAAGTTGACGGTGAGGGATGCTGAGCGCCCACTGGGGCCGCAGCCCCCACACTGCCTGTGGGCCCCAATGCTGTGGGGCAGAAAGAGCTGCTCCCGTGGGAGCCCAGCCCGGGCCAAGAGCCTGCACACCCACCTGCACCCCTTGTGATTTAATTTGCGCGGTTTGCACCCGTCGTGCAAATTCCTGCGATGTCCCCGCGGCTCTCGGACACCGGCCTGAGGGCCCTGAGCCGTGGGGAGCGACTCTGCATCCTCCAGCCCTTCCCTCTGCCAGGCTCGCCCGGCTCCTGGCAGCCGCCGGCCAGCCCAGTGCTGCCCAGCTCTAAACAGCGACGGCTCTCACTTTTTTCTCAGGCCCTTCTGCATCCGATTTCCCTCTCGACTCCCTCTCGACAAGTGTATGATTAACAGATTACTGCAGGAAGACAGAGGGACCAGACACACGCAAACTTCCAAATCGGACCGCAGCCCACCACTGCCGAGGAGGGAAATCTGGCTCAAGCACAGGTCTTCTATATAAATATATTTAATTTGGCTAAAATGCCCTGTGCTGATAACCATATGATCAGCCATGTGTCATGGAAAGGCATCTACAGATCACAAATAATTAACTGAGGAAAACCCACGGGAAACAAAAGCGTCTTTTACAAAGCTGCCTTGACAACTACGGCGAAAAGCCATTTATTACGAGGAGTCCGGCACCGTGCTCGCAGCCGGGTTCACTGAACTGCCCTGGGATCGAAGTGGTGGACGGACGGTCAGCCCACAGCTCTCCTGGGAAAGAAAACCACGGCGGCGAAGCCCACCCTCGCAACTGAGGCCACCGAGAGCATCGTCTGCCCGTGACCCTCGGCCACTGCCCGGGGGCACTGGGGACAGCTCCCCAAAATGACCGCCAGCCGGAGAGGTTCAGCCTGCGGAGGATGCCGGCAGCTTCTCAGCCGTGCTGGCACAGCACGGACACCCCCAGCTACAAAACCCGCCCAGGTAAAGGAACTTCCTCCTGGGATTTCGGGATCTCCTTCTCCCAGGTGCCTGAGGGGAAGAGCTGATGCAGGCTGGCTCGGCGAAGGATGCTCTAAGGGCTACTCTAAAAAAAAATCTCTGAATCAAGGAAAAGGAAAGAAGTGATAACTGGAGCCCGGGAGCTTTCCACGAGCTCCAAAAGCACAGAACCGCGCCCTTCACCAAAACTACGACAAAGTCACTCTTTAATCGCCTCCAAATTTTCCCCATCAGCTGGTTAAACACGTCCCACAGATAGGAATCTCCCCACGATGTCTGGTTCCTGATCATTTCCCAGCAAACCCCTTTTATCCCTGATAATAAAAGAATGTCCTCTGGCAGGTGGATATTTGCCGGTCCAAGTGGACGTCCCTGCCGTGAACAGGGTAAACATTACTCAACCAGGGCACTGTCACACACATTCTTCCCCGCGGTCCCGGCCTCGTGCAGAGTGTGCTTCAGCCGCTGCTGGTCTGAGATCCTGCAGCGCTGGTTAAACAATGGGAGGGGAGATAAAATAAAGCCCTTTCTTCTGAGCTCGATCTTAAAGATAGACAAGGAGCACAGGCAGCTCCTATTGGAAAGAAAATCAGAGTTTCTGCTCAATCTTCAATCTCTTTTGGGTTCGGTGAAGCTTTCAGTAAGAAAAAAAAAACCCACATTTTAATCCCCAAAATCATGTTATACCTGACTGAGGATGCTTATAACTCATGAGCCAAGACACCCAGAGTTATGAAGTTGTCTTTAAAAACCTATGAAATGTTAAAAGCTGATTTTCAAGCTTTTCTCTGCAATCCCAAGGACAAGACTTTTATTGTTTGAGAAAACAATAACCAATGCTGAGATTTCCAGATAGTCTGGTGACTGGTCTCTCTAGATAAAACTGCTGAAAACTCCGACTCTTGATGAAGATTAACTCTCCCGAGGAGCGCGAGGCCGGGCTCCGGGGACGGCAGCAGCGGTGCCACTGTCCAGCCCCACCGAGGACCCCGCTCCTGCGCAGGCAGGGGCCGTGCTGGCGGGGGGCTCCTGCGTCCGCTCCTGCGCAGGCAGGGGCCGTGCTGGCGGCGGGCTCCTGCGTCCCCAAAGCCCGTGGGCACCTGGGTCTGCCCAGAAACCGCTCGCTGGGCAGGGTAAAAGCTCTTCAGCTACAGCTACCTTGCAGCCTTATAGGAAGCCATCAATTATCCTGGCTTGGGTTTTTCCCATCCTAGAATGGGGCAGGTATTATTGTTATTTATATGCCCTCAGAGTTGGGTTGGATTTGGGCAGATTAGATAATAAATATTGGAAACTAGCACAAGGCATTATTGCTGTTGCTATTGTCACTGCTATAATAAACAGAGCTCCCCGATGATGGCGAGTACCTTTCCTCCAAGCTCCCCGTTCCCAGCAAACACGGTGAGCTCCAGCCCAGCCTAAAGCATCTGCCTGGGCAATAGCCACCTTCAGGGTTTTTCCCGGGCTGCCCCCAAGTGCACACTACTCCTCCCCAGCCACCTTGCCAGCCCCCGTTTTCTTGCTTTTGGGCTCTATCTGTTACAGCAGCAGGACCCCATTTTGCATGGCGCTGGGATGCAGCACGCTGCCGCAGGGCAGGTAACCCGTGCCTCTGCTTCCCCGGCCGCCGGCTCCCCAGCAAACCCTCCTTGGCCCGCCCTGCCATCGCAGGGGGTGCCAAGCT